CTAAAAAAAAAATTAACGCGGGTTGTGCTAGTAAAGATACGTACAAGATCAACTAGACGTGTTTCTTTGTGTTAATTATATTCATTTGGGGCGTCTAGAAACTTAGGTTAGTCGAATATATAAATCAAAAAATCAATCAAGTTTTTGTTCAAACCTATTTTCTTTAACTATATATTTATGTGTGGTGATTCAAATCAAAGTCAACCCCACAAGATCCTCTACAATCACGTTGCCTATTTAATTATCAAAAGGATTGTATTAAATTGTTTTTTAAAAGAGAATAAGATAGAGATCTATTTTTTTTTCAAAGAAGCAATATTGGTTTGAACACAAATTAATTAATTAAGAAATAAGAAGCAAGATAAATGAGTTGTCTAAATTAAATGAGGGTATTCAAATTCTTGGCGTGTTTCATCAAGTTATTAGATGTCATTTATCGTATCTTTTAGTTATTTGCTCTCAAAAGCATCTTAAATTAATAATAGCAAAATCAAAAGTTTCATCATTAAAAATATTTACGAATATTTAAGATTTAATATATATATATATATATATATATTCCGCCATATAACTAAGCATCAAGCCAGTTGGGTGGTGGGGGTGGGGTCGTTGATTAATTACTAATGACTTTATGTGGCAGGCTAAGAGAGTTCCTTAGCAATTAAAAATCACCATTATTATTTGGATAGACATAATCTTTTCTTTTCCAACGAATTTGGATAGACATCTTTTATTTATATTATACTATATATAAATAAATAATATAATATACAAATATATCTTCTTCAATTCTTGTGGCATTAAACAGAGATTGTAACACTTGGATAACATCTAATTGTTTTCTCTTTTCTAACAAACAACCAACAAAAATAAAATAAATATTATTTATATGTGGTAGTCAATAAAACTTTATAAATATATCATTTATTGGAGACAATAATTATGGTAACCGACATATTATCGACGTCCAAACAATACATTAAATATGATCTTTAGTGATTATTAATTAATGATAATAATTTAGTTATCATAATATATATTTTTAGCAACAATCAACACTAATATCATTAAATTTAATAATAATTAATTAATACTAATAAAAAAATTATACTTACTATCAACATGAATGCTTATTATTATCATTAAAAACGGTTTTTATTATCGTGAAATCTTAGTCAAAAGGGAAATAAATCAATTCAATAATTGGCAACTCGAGATTGTTCAATTTCCCCTCTGTTATTGCAAGTCACAGTGGGGCCCATTCTCTTTCTGTCGAGGCCCGCCACGTGGCCGGGGGGGGGGGGTGGCGTCTTGGCCTAGCTAATGCTTGGACATTTTGAATTGACATATTTTTGTTTTCATCTACAAGTAATCTTTTTTCATTATTTTTAAAAAGATCATAAGTGATTCAATATTTAAGATTTATAATTTTAATAATAATTTTAAGTTAATATATAATAATAATTAAGTTGAATAACCCAGCAAGATAAGATTAATGAACGAAGTAAGTAAGATAAAGTTATTTTATTCGATTCCATATTATATTTTTTCGGTACTGATTAAGACATACTCCTAAAAGATGATGGAGTATAGGAAATGAAATTTAAATATGATGAGAAATTATTCAAATTTATATTAAGTGAATTATTACACTGTTTTTTTTTATAATTTAAAATAATTAAAGATCAAATAATTTTTAATTTACATTCTTGAATATTTCTTCTTAAGAAATGTGTTATATATACAACACAAATTTACTTAATACTCATAGACTAGAGAGAGTCCCAATTAATATTTCCTTATAACTTATGAATTTAAACTTTTAAATCCTTATAATTTATGAATGATATTTTAAAATCTTAATTTGATTACTAATACCCAAATTAATTTAGAAATGACTACTTAAATGATAAGGATTAAAAAAAATTATTCTTCTTGATTTGTTATAATGTGGACGAATAAAAGATAATCTCTACATTTAGAAAAGACATGACAAGACTAATTCCTAATAAGTTAGTATCACTTTTTAGGTGGACATTTATATACTAATTTTATTATATTTATTTTTAGGAACATTTAACCGACCAAATAGGGGGAAAAGAAAAGAAAAAAGACATAGCCAGCTGGACAAATCATGAGGAAAAAAAGGGCCTTTGTTTGAGACGGTCACTTCCCGTGCCGTCTCATCCGATAAACCTATCTGGCAAACGTCGAGTCTCTACATGCATTCCGTGACCTTGTGATGCTTTTTTCTTTTTCGATTTCGTGTCTGATATTTATTTTGAAATTTGACTAATTTAGAATTATATTGGAAAAGATTATTCTAGTTGGGAGGTAAAACTTTTGTTAGCAATCATGATTTCATATTCAAAGATTATACTTGAAATGTTTGATTAAAAATGAAAAAATATTTATCATTACCACAACAATCTTTAATGATATGGAGCTTAAACTTGAGATGTCTGATTAAAAATAGAGAAATTTTTATCACTCATATCACAATATGATATAATTGTCACTCCCACCATAATCTTTAATGGTATCGTGATGTTATTTGATGTTGATGCTGCTTTAATTAAATCTTTAAATGGTGTTTATGATAAATTTATTACGAAAATCATTTATATTAATCATATCAATTATTTAATTATATATTTTCTTTATTTCTTCTCAAAATGGATAAAGACCATTGAGAGAATTCAAAAAAATTCATAGATCATTTTTTTGAGTTTTTACTTAGTTTTCTGTATTTATACTAGAGCTTGATTTAATTCGAATCCATATTGAAAATTTCACATTACGAGTTAAAAGACTTCTAAACAAATACTACTCCAAATCCAGCAGGAATTGATAGTAGGTAATTTTTACTTTTTTAAAAAATAAAATAAAAAAAAAATTCTTAAGATGACATTTGCGTCGGATGAAAGTTATTTTTTGCTACAATGACATATAATGATCGAAATATATAATGATCGAAAGGAGTTAAAGATAAGGAGATTAAAATAATGTATTCAGCAATAGTATAGATTTATTTTATTTTTGTATTGTACATATATTATGGATTAGATATAGCCAAAATTTATCCACTTGGATGTATAACAAAATTAAATAGGAAGATGATTCTCGAACTCCAATCATTTGTTCAATGGAATCACAATTTACACTACATGTTCTTCCATACTATGACAGTATCCAATACCAATTTGTCTTTTTTCCTCTCTTTTATTTTTTTTTACAATTTGGTGTGAGAATATTCCAGTTGAGCTTCGAATAAATGACTTATTGGTTATCTGAAAGGCCATTTTTTGTTTGTACAAAAATATAAAATATGACTCCTCAGTTATTTGAAAAGTCATATTTAGTATCCATCGTTGGATTGGATGAATCTTGTATTACATAAATAATATGAAATGTGCCTATATATATATAAGAGAAGGACCCAATATGATGCCTTTCTGTCAAATTTGGCAGCTTAAGGTCCAGGCCACATGGCTGAACACAATTCAGCCACTTCTTTTTTATGATTATTTATTTTATTACTCATGTAGGTGCAGTTGAGAGTTGTCAAAAGGTCCTAAATTCTCACTTATTTATTTGGTTAATCATTAAGCAGTACAACAAAAGAGATTTTATTACTGCTACAATTATGGCATGAATTAATATTGCTTTACATAATGGTAGTAGTAAATTTCAATATATAGAAAATAGTTATCACTGACCGACAAAAAGTGTGTGGTGGAGTAATAAGTACTTTTTTATTTTTAATAAAAAATCTTGAATTTGAATCTCTCGAGTACGAAATTGTTTTTGTTGGAAAGTGTTTTATCCAAGTGTGAGATTTTCTAATACTCTCTCTGTCCAACAATAGTCGTCCACTATTGACTTGATACACTCCTTAAGAAATAATAAATAATAGCGGTATATTACTATATTATCCTTTGACTTTATTAAATTTAATGTTTTGAGAAATGTGTTAGATGATAAAATATTTAATAGCAAGGATAAAATAGACACAAAAGATAAATTATATCTTGGTTTTCTAAATTGGACAACTATTTTTAGTATAATCGACAACTATTATTGAATGGAGGGAATATAAATTCAAACTTATTCGCGCTCCAATATGGATACAGGTCAGATCAGAGGCGTATTCAGGAGGGGGTCACCGGGTTCACGTGAATCCATGCTCGCCTCCAGAAATCATATATAGTAGTGTTATATTTTTTAAAAATTATTTAAATATAGATGTGTGAACCCACACTTGAAGTATCATATAATGTCGTGCATTGGTGATAAGGCACCTTTCTAACTGAGTTTAGAAATTTGAACCTTTTATTTATCTTGTTTTATTTTTCTTTCTAAAATTGAGTAACATCTCTCAGCTAAGTGGTTTGGATAGATAAAAAATAATTTGTACCTATAATTTTAAAATTTCAATAGCATTTAGTGATAAGAACATAAATGTTAAACCAAACAAATTTATATCTTAGATCCACCTTTTCGTAATAGTGCATCCATGATCTCAAAATCCTGAATACGCCTTTGTCAGATCCAATTACTACTGTACCTACCAAGTCTTTTATATAGTGGGAGTTGACATACAAACTTGACAAGCCACCACTGTTCACGTAAGCATGCAGATCAGATCCAGATTTACAACTTTCTTGCACTACCAAACACGAAATAACCTTTCGATAACATCAAAATCAAAAAACTTTTTTACAATAAGTCAATATATTTTTCATTGTATTAACACAAGAATAATTGCAATTTAAATTTCTTATTGTGTAATTTTAAAATATCAAAATTTTAATTTTTAAAATATTGAGATACGTGAAAAAAAGATGATTTAGTCACCAAGCTAGACAAATTGCAACCCCAAAGCAATTGGGGATTCTCACTCATCTCTGGGTGAGGTCATATCATCCGTAACTTATTAGTCTAGTACAATTTAGCTTTTTAATTAAATTAATTTTCGAGAAGTGAAAGTACTACATGAATTGAGACGGACAAAGTAAAGCATACTAAGAGAATTGCTCGAGTTCAAAGCACATATCTAGCCTTCGAATCATGTATTTATATTAAGAAATTCATTAACTATTAAATTGTAAAATTACTTTTACTATATTTACTTGAAGTCGATTATGATCTGCTTCTGCCCGACAACCTGATATTGATAACCTTTCAAGCAAAGATGACAAATCAAAACATATAATAATCAATATATTATTAAAGATCTTCCACCCAATATTACTATAATGACTACTAACTATAATTCGTACTCCATAATTCACATAAAATAATTTTACTTTCTTATAGATGATGATAACTCAAAGTGTAAAAAATAGTATATCGTTTTCAATGTGATGGAATATTTTTAGAACAGACATCATTACATTACCTAACTCCAGTTCAGGGCCCCATGAAGGATGTTTGTAATCAAGGATTAGCAATATTCCACGTCTCCTTTTTTGGTCCCATGGATCATGTACAGTAATTTAAAAAAAAGGTTCCCTCTTTACACTTTTCACCCACAATTATTTCTTCCTAAAAATCAAATAATGAGAGTAGTATTAAAAACACCTTTAAATTTGACAAGAATTATTAGTTTCATACCTGAACTATTGACAACCTTAAAAAAATATTTTTTTAAATGATTAACTAAACTTAAATACATTCCTGATCTTGCAACATGAGTGAAATATACCTCTAAATTCTTGCCAAGTTTAGAGGTTTTTACAACACTTTTCTTGTTTTTTTATTAAGAGTCTCATGCTCCTACAAAAGTTAGAAACCACTTGCAGATCAGGGTGCATCTAAGTTTAGTTAGTCAAGCATAGAAGTATTTATAAATTTACGTCAAATTCATGAGTGTTTTCAATACTTCTTTTCTTAAATAATACTACCAATTTACCTATCATGTTCCAAGTGGAGTAACCATTATCTGATAATTTTAAAAACACCCAAGTTGCGCCTTTAATCTAGCAACTCATGTTCCATATTCTTTCAAGAAGAAGACAAACTTACATGTGAAAACAACCAATATGATTCTTGCTCTGCCCTTCCTTTGAATCCCCAAAAAACAGGATAAAACAACTTGGTATCTTCTTCTTCTGCACCAACCAGTGGAGCTCGAGGCTGTTTTCACAATTTATTATCTATTATGGAGGAGCAAAGATTAGTAGAAGAAGCAACAACAAATGACATCAATGGACAACTCAATGAAGAAGAAAGAGATCCAGAGAGCAATTCAATGCGACAGCCTCTCCTCAAGAGAAACAGGACACTGTCATCCAGTCCATTTGCCTTGGTTGGAGCTAAGGTCTCACATATCGAAAGTTTAGACTATGAGTAAGAACAATTAATAATCTTATCTTTAGATCAATAATAGATTTTCTTGAATTATGCATTACCTGGGCCAACAGGAATTGGATGTCCTAATTGAATGTGTCTGTTTTAGGATCAACGAGAATGATCTCTTCAAGCATGATTGGAGAAGGAGATCCAGAGTTCAAGTATTACAGTATGTCTTCTTGAAATGGTCACTGGCATTTTTGGTTGGGCTTCTTACAGGAGTTACAGCAACACTTATCAATCTTGCAATTGAAAATATTGCTGGCTACAAACTTCGTGCTGTAGTGGACTATATAGATAACAGAAGGTTAGTGATGTTTTCCCTGTGATTCGGGAAGTGTTCTAATGCTTCAATTCTATTCCGTGACTGGTGACAAAGATCAAAGATCACTCAATTGAATTGAATACAGTTATTGGTTAATTCATAATTGAGATTGTAACAAATAATGGTTACAGGTACCTTATGGGATTTGCATATTTTGCGGGTGCTAATTTTGTGCTCACTCTGATAGCCGCCCTTCTCTGCGTGTGCTTCGCGCCTACTGCTGCAGGGCCTGGAATTCCTGAAATCAAAGCCTATCTCAACGGGGTAGATACTCCCAACATGTTTGGAGCAACCACACTTTTTGTCAAGGTGCGTCACACACCCAATTTTATCACTGCTGGCAATTCAGGCTGTGAGTGTCTTTTAGGAAACAGCCTCTCTACCTTCCAAGGTAGGGGTAAGGTCTGTGTACACACTAAGTATGATGTTGTTGGCAATTCAGGTTGCAGACAAATTATCAGGCCATCAACATACTATTGAGATCCTACTGAACTAGATGTATAAATATAAAGAATAAGAGCAAATAACATCTTTTTATTTAGCCGACTTATTTATGGAACTCAATCTTACTTGGAAAGCTTGATCTCTATCTTTAATTGATCAGATAGGATCAATTAAAATAAAAAGGAAATTCTAGAATCGAATGCACTCATCCAACAAGGAACATCCGTCAGGGTATCTAATCTACTTCCAAACTTCAATCCTTTACTAGTGTCACTGTCTTGCTTCTCATGTGGCATTAAAATACAAGAGCTTCCATGAGACTCAAGTTTATGTCTCAATTGAATTTGCTATTTGTTGAGTAACACAAATGTTCCCTATCATGAAAATGAATGGAACTGAGAAAATTACATATACTTAAAAGCAAATATGTAGGGACATCACAAATCTCCATACTAAAAGATTCTAAATTTTGAGAGATCTGACATGTTTTCTTTCCCTTTGATTGATTTGTAAAAGCGTTCATTAAAAGTCAATTATGCTACTTACCAATTTCTTGTTTAATTTTATTTATCTAAGCAATCTTTAATCTCTTGGCTCACAGATCATTGGAAGCATAGCAGCAGTTTCTGCAAGCTTAGACCTTGGAAAAGAAGGGCCATTGGTTCACATTGGCGCTTGCTTTGCTTCCTTACTAGGTCAAGGTGGTCCAGATAATTACCGACTCAAATGGCGTTGGCTCCGTTACTTCAACAATGATCGGGACAGGCGAGATCTCATCACGTCTGGGTCATCATCAGGTGTGTGTGCTGCTTTCCGTTCTCCAGTAGGTGGTGTCCTATTTGCTTTAGAGGAAGTGGCAACATGGTGGAGAAGTGCACTTCTCTGGAGAACTTTCTTCAGCACAGCAGTTGTGGTGGTGATACTGAGGGCCTTCATAGAATACTGCAAATCTGGCAACTGTGGACTTTTTGGAAGAGGAGGGCTTATCATGTTTGATGTGAGTGGTGTCAGTGTTACGTACCATCCTGTGGACATCATCCCTATTGCACTGATTGGAATCATAGGTGGACTTTTGGGTAGCCTTTACAATCACGTCCTCCACAAAGTTCTCAGACTCTACAATCTCATCAATGAGTAAGCATCAACTCTTCCACATTCCAACTAGATCATCAAACATTCACTCAGTTATCTGGATTTAAAAGGCAATGCTTATCCACAAAAAATGAACTTACTAAGACTAGAATCATCTTGACACTTTGATCCATCTGCCCCGGCATTTTTTTAAGTTTGAATTATATTCAAACATGGTCTTCTTATCACATTTAATTGCCCAAAAAAAGAACTCTATAGATGCAAATTCCAGACTTTCAAACATTGATCTTTTTATATCTTGCAGGAAGGGAAAACTACATAAGCTTCTTCTTGCTCTGAGCGTCTCCCTTTTCACCTCCATTGGCATGTATGGACTTCCTTTTTTGGCCAAATGCAAGCCTTGTGATCCATCAATTCAAGGGTCCTGTCCTGGCACTGGAGGGACAGGAAACTTCAAGCAATTCAACTGTCCAAACGGCTATTACAATGATCTCGCTACTCTTCTGCTTACAACCAATGATGATGCAGTACGGAATATTTTTTCCATAAACACTCCCGGTGAATTCCAAGTTTCATCTCTTATTATCTACTTTGTACTGTATTGCATCTTGGGACTCGTCACTTTTGGGATTGCTGTGCCATCTGGTCTCTTCCTTCCAATCATCCTCATGGGTTCAGCTTATGGTCGCTTGCTTGCCATTGCCATGGGATCATATACAAAAATTGATCCAGGGTTGTATGCCGTTCTAGGAGCAGCTTCCCTTATGGCTGGTTCAATGAGAATGACTGTTTCTCTTTGCGTCATATTTCTTGAGCTGACAAACAATCTTCTCCTTCTGCCAATAACAATGCTTGTTCTTCTTATTTCCAAGAGTGTAGGAGACTGCTTCAATCTAAGTATTTATGAAATAATATTGGAGCTGAAAGGTCTACCTTTCTTGGATGCCAACCCTGAGCCATGGATGAGAAATATCACTGTTGGTGAACTTGCTGATGTAAAGCCACCAGTAGTTACACTTCGTGGAATTGAGAAGGTGGGACGTATCGTGGAGGTCCTGAAGAACACCACACATAACGGATTCCCTGTAGTAGATGAAGGGGTGGTACCACCAGTGGGGCTGCCAATTGGGGCAACTGAATTGCACGGTATTGTCCTAAGAACTCACCTACTTCTGGTTCTCAAGAAAAAATTGTTCCTTCATGAAAGACGGAGGACAGAGGAGTGGGAAGTGAGAGAGAAATTCTCCTGGATTGATCTAGCTGAGAGGTGGGGTAAGATTGAAGATGTGGCAGTTACAAAGAGTGAAATGGAGATGTATGTTGACTTGCATCCCTTGACCAACACAACCCCCTATACTGTGGTAGAAAGCATGTCAGTGGCTAAGGCAATGGTGCTTTTCAGGCAAGTGGGGCTCCGCCACATGCTCATTGTACCCAAATATCAAGCAGCAGGGGTGAGCTTATAAGCAAATTTCAGTTATTAATCTTATGCAAATATCTCCCTCCTATCATAGTCTAACGATACACAGAAAAAGTCATATCGTAGCATCAGAGCTTGTTAAGGAAGAGTCTAGGTGGAAGTGTTATTTTACAATAGAAGTGATAAAAGCATTACTAACATCAAACCATGCTCCTTTTTCAGGTATCTCCAGTGGTGGGAATCTTAACCAGGCAAGACTTGAGAGCTCACAACATTTTGAGTGTCTTCCCTCATCTGGTGAAGTCAAAAAGTGGCAAAAAGCACTGAATCTCTCCAGAGAAAACAGATACCAGTCAATTTCTGTGAAATATTCTTTTCCAGATTCCTTTGATCTATCCTTCTCTATTTTTCTTTCACTTTTAGCAGTTTCCATTCTTTCACATATTTTATAGGAAGAGACACCTGAAGAGAGTGAGAGCAATATTATTATGAATTATTTGACACACATAAGAAATCATTTATATATACATCATTTTGGTACAAATTCAGAGAAACATAGTTCATATAAAGCGACCACAATTACGCAAGAATGACAATGATGTGATATAATCTTGTGCCATTGATGAAAACTTTCCAGAATAGAGATTTGTCCTTACTCCTTAGTATTGTTCAGTTTGCAAGTTACCTGAGTCGTTATGAACTTGAACCATAAACAATTTTTTGAAGATGAACTATTGAAAAGCTCCCTCCTGCTTCTTGAAAGATTCCTTCTTCTTGGTGCTGTATCCTCTATCTCATTTAAGCACAGAATCTCAATACTGCATGCAGTCACATTAATTTCTTTGATTTGACCATCAATTTGAAACTTATGCTCCGAAACAGAAAAAGGATCATGGAAGCAGACTATAAAGTGAAGCACCCAGCCAAAGCAGCTATTTATTGTACCAAAAAAGACAACACATGGCTCCCCAATAACAGACAAGTATACATGAGAACAAAATGAAAGAAGCTTGACATTAGAATTTAAAAAGAAAATGAAAGGAGGGAACTTCTTAAATTTCGACAGATTATCAACACCCTTAAAATTGGAGGAATTTTTTTTCCTTTTTTTACTTTCCTTGACAATATTCACACGCTAGACGCCTCCCCCATCCCTCTTCCAACATGTCGGTCCTCTGCTATGTCCGTTTCATTCCATTGCTATCTTACCTCTCTTATTGCAGAGTTTTAGTTGTAAAGCTATCTCAATTTTATTTTTTTTGCATCTTCTATCCTAAATTGGACGATTAACTTTGATTGGGCAAGATCAAAGCAAAGGCATGACATGAAGTTTTAACTGTTCTAAATGGTTACAGCTAACTCATTGATGAATTTGAATTTTTAGCGTATGAAGTGTTTCAATGTCTGTTTTCCAGTAATATGATTCCAAAAGCATCATGTTTTTTTCCAGTAAGGTGCTTATGGACAGCAAGAGTTAGGAAACTAATCAATTTACTCAGCAGAAAAGAAGCAAGTTTTTCATGTTTGAGTTTAGATGATCACACTTTGTTAAACGTATCAAAGCAATATTTTGTTTTGTGTGAATTTTGTAAAACCTTGTAAAGTGCCATCTTTGTTCAAAAAACACATGCACAAAACAGCTTGCAAAGGAGATCCTTTGTCAACTCTCTCTCCCTCCTCTCCAAGCAAAAGTGTGAGAAAAGAAACAAATGAAAACTGTTGAAATTCTAGTGGTGAGCATGAGGTAGGACCTCTGTTATAGTCCTTAATCAGAACTTATCTAAATGCTGAAAATTTTTGAACAAGTGTTTGACTTAGACCGAAGTAATAAGAATAATTCTCCATCCCATTCTCTTCAGTGACACGGCTTAAGCTCATTTCTTTTATTAGTTTCTCTCATCTACACCGAAAAACTCTATAAAGGAATGCACATTCCGAATTGCATTATTAATGCTCAGTTTCCTCATTTTGATGCAAAGGTGGTCTAGAAATATGAATCCAACATTAGATGAAATTAAAGACAGGCTTTGTCTAAATGTCATTCCTCACTATAGCAGATGAAAATCCTAAATGAATAATAAGCTTAAGGATAATACAGTTTCAATTTTGAGGGAAAAGGCATCTTTAGCACCTAAAGTAAACTTGACAGAACTAAATGGTAGCACTTAAGGATTTTACGGGAACATAAAAGGCCAGAAAATCAATTCCACACATGGCAATAACATTGTTTTCTCCAATGATTCCACAGCATAATCCAAATTTGTAGGAAGGCTAACTTCAAAATTCATCTTGATGTGATAAATAAATTTGAGTTACAATTATAAAAACAATGTAATGCAATAAAACCTTTTCATAGTCGTGCTTACTAATTCCCTTATAAAAAATGGAATACTTTATGATTTATGGATCTTTTCAATTACCTTAGGCAAGCTTCAACCAAATCAGGGAAATAAAATTCTTCCAGATTTCCAAAGAACCTCTGCAGAACTTTCCCGGTCACAGCTAATATGAATAAGAATTTGAAGGAAACTACTGATATTCCTCAAGCTCAGTTGTGCTTAAATTCCTTATATGGAGATACCTACAAGATAATAGAAAGTTACTAAGAAATAAAATAATCAATATACTGAATGGAAAGATACACTACTTTTGGTGAATCTGACAAGCACCCCTTGACATTTTTGAAGAGTCCGAACAACATTTCCCTTGGCACATATATGAGCTACTAACTGCAACAAAGCACTTCAAATTGGTAAGTTTTCATCTTATGATACTTAAATAGGGAACTGTAATTTCCTATGGCGTTCAAATTCTGAACCATACCAACCAATATCATCTTATAGCAGCTACTTCTAACATCAGGAGTTGTTCTGCAAAACCCCCCAAACCAAAATCATCTCATGTAGCAAGTATCCCTATTCTCTATCATCCATAGCACTTATACAGAGGTTCACATATCCAATTATAACCCCAATTTCCTTTATTTTCCTCACTTAAACTCACAGCAGGCCCTACCTTTTCAAATGATTTCTGATTCTCAATCCTCGGGTCTATGTAACTTTACCCATTCCCCCCTTCATCTTCCTCATCTTCTAACACTACCAAAGCTAAAGCGCATATATCTTACAAAAATTAGTAATAGAAACTAGGTTATTCATGGTAAACATAAATGTTGAAGAATCGCTGAGCCTAAAGTCGGGGATATCGAACTATATACGTTTTTCATACTTTCAATGCGACATATAAGCTGGAGCAAGAGCTTGATATATGAATCGCGAATGAAAATTACTGCGCCGCAAGAGCAACTGAAAATGAAATCAACTAAAACTAAAAGATTTGCAGCAATCATGGAGGAAAAATATACTCTTACGTTTGTCAGAGGCAAAATCTGTCACACTGAACATCATGAAAAATATGGCAGATTCATAAACTACTAGCGGACAGCAGATCACTTGGAAGGAGGCAGTGAGCAATAGAATCACAATCTTTATTTTGCGGTGAATTTTATTTCTAAAAAAAAAAATCATATTCAAATTCACATCACAAATCACAATCAAATTCTTTAATTCTTGAAATTTGGACTATATAGTATAAATCTAAATTAAAAAAGCACTTGCTCCGTCTCATTTTATGTGACACTTTTTGAATTTCGAGATTCATACAAATCTATTTTTAATAGTAAGTTTTTCATAGATCCTTTAAATATTTTCAATTATTAATTATTGTGATTTATAACACTTTTTACGTAGTTTACAAATATGTAAATTTCATTTCAAAAAAATTGAAGATTCTATATGCAAATTTCCAATCAAAGTTAAACCGTTTGATTCTCGAAAAACGAAAAGTATCACATAAATTGGGACTGGGAGTAATACATTATAAAACTTTTTTGTTTTGGTAGTACATTAGAAAACAACACTAACAATTTATAACCACCGAAACAGAGTGTTAGAAGACAAAGGAAGCCATGTGCAGCGTAATTTCTTCCGAGACACAACAAAAGTTGTGCGATGACGCCTTCTATTTTTGATAATAAGTGGATCGGTGGGTCTTTCGTAGGCCAACCTTAAGAGACTATCGAGGTTTCCTTGAAAAAATATATATATACACAGTGGTCACACATATCGTTACAATCAAGTATTGTATTCGCACAATTTCAATTATGATTAGATTTTGAATGCGAACGGATACAATGTATTTTGCTAAGTTTTGTAAAACCAAATCCGATATATTAGCTTATTTCAATCCCAACAAGGTGTTCATCCTTGGTTTCTGAAAAAGGAAATAATCTGGTTGTAGACGATATCCTTAGCAGTAATCCCAATGATGAAGTCTGCATGAGCGTAATCCTTGATATACTGAACATGTAGCTTCTCTACATCGTGGTACTTGAGATTATCAAGTAATATCCCAACATCTTGAACATCAGACAGTGCATCTTGGCCTCCATAGCTGAGAAACAGGGGGAAATCATGAGGGATATTTGTCAGATTGTACCTTGGAGGTTTGGTTTCACCGTAGTGAGCCTGATTGAAGTCGTTGCTCCCATAGTCATATTTTGACAAGACACCATCTCTAACAGCTGCATGAATTTCAAATAGTTACATAGTCATTTGGTATTTTTGGTTGGTTGGTTGATTATTGGAGCCGATCCTAACTTGTTTAGGACTAAGGTATAGTTGATTGATGGACTCGTAAATAGTACTTAAAAATGGACTTACTCTGAGACAAATGCACAAGGTTCTTAGTTGATGTAGACTGGGGCTCATTCTTCAAGAAATGATCGACCGTGGAGGCATTTAGACAGCAGTTCTTTCCTATATTCATAGAGGAAAGTTATTTAGCTTGGAACTTGTGATCATCACAAATGACTCCATCTGTAAATGACGAAAACGTTTTTAATTTTATGGCAGATTAGTACCAGTAAGTGCAGTTATCAAGTCATAACAGTCCACCCCAGCTTGAGCACATAAGACCTTGAGAAAATCGGACACAGGCTCACTACCACAAAGCGTCAAAAATTGAGGTAAATGTGACAAAAGAAGGAAGGGGGGTGGGGGACAAGAAGGGCAAATTCAGAACACTAGTTGTAAGTAAGGAGAAGTAAATTTTTACCCCCTTGGATTAAATTCTGCAAGACCAAATATTGTAGTGATCTGTTGACATTGGAAACCATAAACATCAACAAATCACAATGTATGCATTGCTCTTAAGCTTTGCAAAATGTAAAGAAGAGAAGTGAACCTAGATTTTGCCCTGACCTCACTAACAAAAGCTCTAGCAGCAACATCACCGAGTGCAGTGGTCATATGGCTCAAATAAGCAACTGGGCTGAGCAAGGCAGCTGATTTTACCTTGTCTATTTGTTTCCCTTCTGAAAAGGACGCCAACGCTATCAAGGTGCCCTGTTAGTTCAGAAAATAGACAGATAAAAAGGTCATTATATCATGTACTGGAAGGATAATAAATGTTTTGCCACCTACAATTGAGACTAATGTTCTGTTCTCTTTCCAAACTTACCATTGAATGGCCTATATAGTGAATTTTCTGCCCAGTTTGTTTAAAGACAAGATCAACGAGAGCAGGTAAGTCATGGACGACAAGATCATCCCATGTCCAATTCCAGTAGTCCTGTAAACCAGAATGAATAAAACCTTTAAAGATTTAGAGCTATTTAAGTATTTTGACATCTTTCTTCCCTTTACCAGAATTCTTTTTATCAGTTTTGCAAGCATTATGAAAAATGTATAGTTCATTGAGGAACTGAAGGAGATACCGCACTATCAGGATCAAGAGTGACATGGCGACGGCTATATCTGGTTCCCCTGACATTGGAAATCCAAACATCGAAGCCATTATCTGCCAAGATCATCGCCGGTGATTGTGCTGGTGAATTCTGCAGCCATGTTACTCCATCCTGCAAAACAGTGACCATATTTTACTTCCTTCATCCACAGTTGCAGTGAATTAAGATTGAAATATTCGTCTACTTATTGTGGGTAGTATTTCTCCCTTCTTAATTGTTTGACATAATTTGATTGGAGACATAGAAAGAAAGATTTTTGACACATAAACAAAATATCGAATGTATCCTTGCATCAAACAATTTGTATAGAATTCAGTGATGGCTTAAAATAAGTCATGTTAATGGTAAAATGAAAAGGTGAAATTTGATTTGCTTGTAGCTATGAGAAAATGTTAATATAGTACCAAACAGATTTAAACGCAAGAATAACAGTTGTTGAGTATTCATAAGCTTCATAGTTATTAGCTTGTGGTCAAATTATTTATATATATATATTGAGAATTCTATTAATTAACATGATTTGAATGCGAATTCAATTATTATAGTAGTACTAACTTGAGTCGTAGTAGAAAGTAAGAACACATAAACTTCATAATTTTGAATTCGCCTCTAATTGTGCAAATTCACAAGCATTCACAGTAGTAGTACACAGAGTAAACATACAAATGACAAATCTGTGTTTTGTAATTTACCTCCTCGTGAGCGTACTAGCCTACAGAAACAGCCAGCCCTTGAGTCCGTGGTTGACTAATTAAATCATGCCACATATACGTAATGTGAGACAAGATTTGGAATCTTGAACTTCTCTACGTGCAAAAGCTACTTGCATTTCTAAATTTTATGCAATCTGAAGAGATCGGGATATGGAAAGTACTGCATTCACCACATCTGAGCCCCTTTATTTCTCCTACAGGCCTTTAGCATACTGGCTTTAGAGGAGGATTTTTGAGTTTTGGATTTTATAAAGATGATAATTGAGTTTTATATATATATATAATATTTAATTTTTTATTTAATTTTTTTTAATTTATGTCATATTATGGAATTTGAGAAGTTATTGAAAATTTTATATGATTTTTAAAATATTTTAAATTGTTAGCTATTGTGATTTGTAGTACTTTTTTAAAACATAATTTTGAAAATAATATTTATTACTCTCTTTGTTCTAATTTATGTGGCACATGTACAATTTCAAATATTAACCCTTTTTTATATGTCTCTTTAATATATTAAGTTGTTAATT